TGAATTTTATGCTGTATAAAGTTGCAAATCTACACATGTTCACTACGTTGAACATTGATGAATATAGTATTGTGCATTCATAAATACTATATTGTTCATCCTTTGTTTAGTTATACAATTCATTTTAAATTAAATCATATCAACTAGTTGTGTAGAATATGTGGATATGTATACATGGATATCCTGTTGAGATAAGGATAAATATGTTTTTTTGGTCCACGACAAAATTCGCACGAAAGGCTATCCGGCTTGCAATGCATTTTCAAATTCTATTAGGTCTCGAATGTTAATTTTGGTGTTATGGCCCTAAGTGAGAATCTCCCAAAATTATATTTGATATGAAAGTTAAACATTTGGTTTTAAACTTTTTATCATTTATACCAGTTTTGAATTTGATTTTTATATTTATTATATTATTTTTTTATTGCTTTTTGGTTAAAAAAAAAAGATTGAAATGGGAGTCATGACTACTTATTAAGCAGTAGAATCTGAGAGTATGTATAGGCTTTGTCTTCATCAGCCAGACTATTTTATTGATCTTTTGGTGACAAATTATGACGATGAATTGATGGTTTATTAAAAAATGAAACCGTATATAATTCTGTAATAAATAAATAAATACATGAATCAAATTCATAAAACATCAAGTGAGCACAAAGATGAAATGACTATTTAAAAAATAAAAATATTTTTTACCAAGTTTATTTGATAAACCCTTAATAAGTAGAACTTTTCTTTTAAAGAGTCACATGTTTACTAACAAGGATAAACACTTAAAGAAAGGACCAAAATCTTTTGTATTAGCAAAATGGATGATTAAGAATTTAAGCTTGAACATTACATCAAAAAAAATTAAAAATATAAATAGGGGAGACGCATGTAGACTACATATAGTTGCTGAGGGGCTCTGAGTCCATTACGGGGAAACAAATATTTATCTTTTGATCACACTACAGGTTAAAACAGAAACAATATATGGCAATAATGAAGTTGACTCCAAATTAAAACAGATTCATCAACACAAACAATATCATTGTATGCTTGACACACAGGACAGCATGTTCATCGTTCATCGCCACCAAAAATAGAAAGATTCTGAGAAGGGAAGATCTCAGTGGTGACATATTAAATAGTGATCATAACACCTACAATCCAATATAAAACAAAAATTGTCCATTTTTCTATTTATTCCGTCACATTATATATACGTTTGCAACAATAATACACACAAAATTAATCTGAGGCAACGATGCATGAACAGAAGTTTTGTGGCCGCAACAATGCGTACGTGGCTTATACACATAAACAATTTTAGAGTGACAAGCATCAGTTAGTTTGTGTGTGTTTAATTTCATCAATTTATTTAATTTGGTTAGCTAAACATCGTAGATTGAGTTATGACTTAACATGAAAAGGATTACATGAACGTTACGTGCCATGAAGCTTCCATGCTTCAGTACATGTTATTATTTAATATTCAACGTTTAGGCCATGCTTGACGCAGAGGCTTGCTTATAAGAGACAGAAAGAAAAGAGTAGTTATCTGGTTAGGTAGCATCTGAAATTTCTGGAAAACTCCAGTCATCTTTAATATATATGCATTATATAATATCTTATTTATATGTATATATACGCTGAAGGGAACATCTCATCAAGCATATTGGCAGGTTAAAAATAAATAAACACTACACCTATCAATTATCCACACGTAGCTCTCTACCCACCAAATCTAATAAAGTTGAAGGATGTGTGATGAGCATGTGGACTAAATATATATAGAATACGTGCTTATGCAAACTAAAATCTACATTTAGAAATTGGAATAATCTAATTAATTATAAAGCAAATTGATTGTAAATGGTTCTTAAAAAACTGCATGTTCATAAATTATGTAGAAAGTTTAATTATTAAGACAATGATTGACTGATTAAATATAGAATGCAAACACGCACTGCAAAACGTACCCATACGACGATATGCATGCATTCATTTGAGATTACAAGGGAGACAAAACAACAATGTTTAAGAATTAATGAAAGAGAAATGAACTATGAACTATATTTTTCAATGGCGTGAAAGTTGTGAGATTTTCTTAAAATAAAGAAAAATGAAATGTAAAAGATTATTTATCAATAATCCAAAGTTGAAGAAAGAATTCGCACTTTTTGCAAATTAAATAAAGAGAGCTAACTGTAATTAGTTCAAGATATACACTAGATATATGATATATCATATAGCAAAAAATATCCGCTTCTAATGTGTATAAATTAATAATAATTGTATTTTTCATAAGTTAGACCTTCATGTTTGTATATATATGCATCTAATAATCCACCTAAGAATTTATAAAATTCATTTTTAAAAATATTTCAGGTAGACAGGTCATACATTTCAAAATTAAATTATTGTTTTAGTATTTTAATTTTAAAATGTATAGAAATGAATTTGTTTTAACCCGGATTTAAAATCTTCAAGGTCCTTTCATATAATCGTCATCTCTGCGCTGGCTAATAGTTTTGAGCAAAATACTTCATGATAAATATAATACAGTATATGATATGATATACAAAATCCATATTTGAGAAATTATTTTTTAACCATGACATTTGAGAAATCAAATTCACAATTCGCTTGTTTGAGAAAATAATTAGAAGGGCGTATATATCATATATGAACGAGTCTCAAATCTATCAAAGTGAAAAGATTATAATATTGCGCGGCCACACTGGCATCTAGCAATAATACTATTAGCGAGCTGACTAAATGGGAGAGTGACTGATTGCCCTCTGCAATTTCATGGACAGCAAATCATTTGAATTTCATCGCAGTCCGAATATTAAAAATTTGTAGAATAAAAGATACGTCTTCTTTTCATTCACAGTTTTATTTATATTATTTCTTTTCAATTCAAGTAGTATTCGACAAATCACGTTACAATATAATATAATATAAAACTCAAAAGATCCTCAATCATTTTTTTCCCTTTATTCATTGACAAATCATCAAATATTCAGAATTAATGATCAACTCATTCATATTCGATGCAGGTTTTGAATTGCTGAAAACTGATCCCTAAAGCGTTTGATTTTACTTTTTCCCCATCCACAGCTCTTAAATTTAATGTCAAATCTTATTTTAGAAACGTTGAATTTCTCAGGCCTTTGAAAAAGTGAAATCTGGTACATGACCTACTGATGAAGCAGTAACCGAGGACGCCAATCATGTGTCAATCAAGCCATTTCAAGTTTCAAGCGCATAACAGGGCGAAGACAACTTTGTTGCATATATTCAACGACATGGACAACGAGAATTTAATGCCCTGGCAAACCATCACATGGCATTTTTCGAGTCAAACCTAAAGATGTTGTCCGTCACATTAATTAAACTATTTTTCACCACATAACGTACGTATCTTTATAGATATTAAATTTATTTTCTGCGTGCTGATTTCTAACGAAGCCGTGCAATTCTTTAACATTTTCTTCCACAATTCAAAAAGAGGGTGCCCAGTTTCCACAAGAAGTACATTGTAATTAAATTGGTAATATACATGTCATTTTACTTAGCAGAAAGCGATTAATCCCTAAATCCGTCAAAAACCAGCGGTGGAAATTTTTGTCTACGCATCCTTTCACTCATCGTTCAGACTTTCATACGTTACATTACATCTCAAACTAAAATTTCCCTAAAGATTAATAAACGTTTTGAAGTTATTGGAGTAAGTGTAATAGCCAAAAATAAATTAAGAAATGATTCTTTGAATTTTCTAAAAACACATATCAAGTGGAGTAACCTACAAACGTGTGGTGTGGTCTTCTTCTTCTTCTTGTTTTTTTTTTTTTTTGACATGAAGGATTGGTCTTTGAATTAGAGACTGCAGAGGGTAAGGCTTCTGAAGCCTACAAACAGTAAAATCCTAAAGTCGTTTTACAGTATAACAGCTGGACCCGTAGGTTCGTAGTTCGGTGACGCGTCATTTATTTATCTGCATCCCTCCTCGTGGCTCGGTTTGGCTCCCACCCGTATGGATTACTGGTGGTGTTCACTGTAGCACGGTCCACGGTAGCATCGCTCGTCAAATTACGTGTCGACCTTTTATTGGCAAAAGACCGTCACGACGCTCATCATATGGTTTCTAATTCTGCACTATGCATGGCCATACGGATGTGGCTAGTTGTGACAGATATGCGCTAGATTAGCTAGGGGTGCCAATTCTGCATTCCGAATAATTGATATTTTCAGCAATTGAATGCTTTGAATTTGATATAAACATATATACGCGCGTGTTTATAATTAATTAAAATTGTTTTAGATGTATAGTATGTCATGAACATTTGCTTAATTTCTATAAAATAATAAGAAATCTTCTCTGCTTTGTGGAAAATGAAGAAGTTTGTTCCCTCACACCATGAGGAGGAGATGCGGAAAGATACACAAATAGACAATTATATACATGCAGCTCATATATAAAATTCGAGTGATCCAAATTTATCAGCCTTGTTAGGCAAAGAAAGTGACGAAATTACTAATCTGCCCTCCTCGTGAATCCTTACATTTGACTCGGTGTTTCCGACATTTTCAATTTCTGATTTTTATATTCGCTTTTAGATATGGAAGTCTTTACATGCACTACAGTTTTTTCTCCCCAACCGTCTTGGCATGAGCAACATGCCAACATTTTTGCCTGACCTTTTTACTGTTGATATTTCAACCAAGCACCTCTCAGGGGAAAAAAAATCCCAACCACAAAAATTTCCATTGGTCAAGTGAATTATATTTTTTTTGATAAATATCCCCACCAACAATAAAAATTATCTTCCTCAAGATATTGAGGGTAAATATTGAATATCTTCCAACTAAGTGACTTTATACATAGTTATTTCTTTTACCAGAGACTATATACACAGGGTTAGATGAATTATATTATTCTACGTAAATATTTTGGTCATTAATTATTGGATAAATTTTTAAAGCAATTAATGGAGATTATAGAATCCCATGGACATGTGTATGAAGTGTGATTGAGATATATAGCAGATAAGATATCTAGTAAGAAAAGTTCAAGAGGTTAATTATTGTAGTATATATGCATGTATAGCGATTAGCGTCTTCACAATGATCAGACACGTCTCCTGAGTAATGAACAAAGGGCGGCACCAAATCCCATTGACTTGGATCCAATTCTCTTCCATCGCCATTTCTCATCACCTCTCGCCTTGTATGTATATATATATGCACCTCTTTCACCTTCCTACAGCTAGCTAGCCACTCTCGCTTTCCAATAATAGAGCTATATATCGCAGTATACTCTCTCTCTCTGACGAGATCAAAGATTTCTGAAACTTGATCAAAATGACGAAGCCTGCTTCCGACGATCAAAAGAACGGATTGAAGAAAGGCCCGTGGACCCCTGAAGAAGATCAGAAGCTCATCGATTACATTCATGAACATGGACACGGAAAATGGCGTACTCTTCCCAAGAATGCTGGTAAACTACTTCTCTCTGCCCCCTAATTTCCATTCAAGCGTACTAATCTCTTAACGACATTTACCCTTGATTTTCCAGACACAAGACCCGGATTATAACACAAGCTATTCATAATTCTGATAATCGAATTGTTCTTTTTTCCATTATAGGACTCAAGAGATGTGGAAAGAGTTGCCGTCTGCGCTGGACAAATTACTTGAGGCCAGACATTAAGAGAGGTAGATTCTCTTTCGGGGAAGAAGAAACCATCATCCAGTTACACAGTGTTCTGGGCAACAAGTGAGTTCTCTTTTTCTTTAAATTTGCTTATTGTCCCTCATTTTGTTTGTGCATCAAAGCCATAGAATTGCATGAAAAACATACAATTACAAGATTTCTGATTCTGCAGATTAATTTGATGGTTAATATATAGAGCTGCCAACACCATGCAAAGCCAATGATCCACATAACATCAAACTGTTATTTCATTGTACGGTGCAAATAAAATTAGAGATATGATCTAAATGGAATGTATACCTTTCTTATTAGGTGGTCCACCATTGCCGCTAGCTTGCCGGGAAGAACGGATAATGAGATCAAGAATTATTGGAACACCCATATCAAGAAGAAGCTACTGAAGATGGGGATCGATCCAGTGACTCACACACCGTGCTTGGATTTTCAACAACTCTCCTCCATTCTCAACTCTTCTCTCCACAACTCACCTCATGTTAACTATCCCGATCCTCTCTATGGAATGGGAAATAACACATTAAATCCAAGCCTCTTGAGTTTGCTCACAGCTTTCTTATCACCACCACCACCACCACCACCACCACCATCTCAGAACCCAGATGCTGTAAATCAAAGTTTCCAGCAAAGCCAGCAGCTTAATAACTCAATCCAAACCTTCCCTCTCCAAGACAACCAATCCTGTGCTGCTTCTCAGCCTTTACGTCTGGAACCTCATCAACTCATGAAAGCAAAACTGGATCAAATGATCTCTCCAGGTACCGCTAATTTCAGCTACCAAAATAGCCTGCCAAATGTGGGGCAGCAAGAAGGAGGTCCTTACTCTACCAGTCTTGTGGAAAATCAGATTGCACATAACAAGAGGGGCGAGCCGAATTTCAATTTAGGGTCTTTGATATCGTACTCGACACCTTCATCTTCCGCTAGTCCGAGCACTTTGAACTCGTCCGCATCTTCTATAACATTTGTCAACGGTGCCACTGAAGAGGAAAGGGACACTTACTGCAGCAACATGTTGGTGTATAACATCTCAAACGGCTTAAATATTGATGGCTCTGGACTTTTGTGACTTTGTGATGCGAGAGAGTGAACTGGAGTGCAAATTGTGCTACGCTAGGCAGATTTGTCGGTGCAGCTGAAGATTTATTTGTTTGGGTTTCAGAATTTGGTTCTGACATATGAATCAGTTTACTGCTTACTTGATCGTTGTACGTTCATCCATTATTTTAACCTTTTTTTTCCATTTATCTAATTTAATTATTTGCTTTAATTTGGAGATCTTGGATCAATAGTGCAGGAACTTAGTATTATTGCAAAACATATAGGAGTCATTTGGACGAAATTTAGTAAATGAATAGTACTTGGACATTGTTTACTCAAGAATAACGCTTCATATTTTGTCCTCGCGACTGGCATTCAATTTCTGAGAGAAGCTAGTCATTATTCATGAAAGCGTTAGAATTATCGAAATTCTACAAAATAGAGAACAAGGTTGACGTAAGACACCAGTTCGTGCATTTACGGGACGGAAGCACTAGAAGAATCAGAAGGACTTATTCTATTTAAGGTGAAAAGAACTTACTGTGCTTCTAACGTTAAGGCTTCGAATATAAAACACATTTTAGAATGTCAATTTAATTTTATTTATAAATTATAATGTGATTTGTTAGGTAATATTTTAAAAATATTTTTAAAATTACCTTTAAGAAAGAAAAAAATAATATAACATTACTTTTTTTATTTATTATATAAAAATATTTAAAATTTTATACACTTTTTTAAATTTTTTTATTGATATCAATGGAATTGATAAAAATAAGAAAGCAAAAAAAAAGTTACTTATTGCTTTCGAGGGGCCAGATATTCACAGTTGGAATATTTAATACTACAAAAGTCGAGAAATGACATGATGTTACGCTCTCGATCGTCTTCATGTGATGTTTCAAATTTGAATAAAAGAAAAGAGGGTGATTGAATAGAAGATGAGAACGGAAAGAAGACCAGGAGAGGGTTGAAAAGCAGCTAGAGATTGTGTTGAACGGAACAGTGACAGAGAACCTAACAAGTTTGAGTTGATTAAGGGTACATGCATGGAGATGGAGGTTCCGTCTACGTCTCTACCTGTCTGCGTTGGGTCAAACCTTTTGACTTGCTTCTGCTTTTCCAGCAATGGCCTGCCAGAACCATAGGCCCTGTTTCGTGCACAATATTGATGGGCAAAGACATGAATTGAGTTAGAGTAATCTCACTTTTAACATGTTTGATAGAAAGCATTCTTTAATACTTGAGATTGCTTAATCTCACTTAGGTGGGACTATTGAAACCCACTACCCCCATGGTATTGCTTAGTCCCACCAAAATTAAGCATGTGATTGATATTGTTTAGACAAAAATGCCCTTCCATTCTCTTCCCTCTGTCATCTCTGGCCACCCTTCGCTTCTTTATCTCCGTCACAAGTTGTTCATCGCAAGTCGTTCCACTTGCCGTTTCTGTTGCAAGTTGTTCCTGTGGCTGTCTCCATCACAAGTCATTTTAGTCGCATTCTTCGTCCCAAGTTGTCTTTGTCATCGTTGCCATCTTTATCAGAAGTTGTTCCCATCACCATCTCCATTGCAAGTCATTCCTATCGCCATCTCTGTTGCAAGTCATCTCTCTCCCTCCAGATCGCATCTCACTTCCTTCCATTTGCTACTATTTTTCCAAATTGCAGTGGATTGAAGCAACACAAAGAGTGAGAAAATAGATCGCTTATCGTGGATTGAACTAGACAGTTAAAGCCGTCATGTGTGGAGCTTGGTCAGAGAGCAAAGGCAATGGCCTCTTGGCATTGTTGTGCTCACAGTTTGGGAGAAGGTGGAGAAGGGTTCATTAGAGTTAGGGTTGCATTTTTTTTAAAAAAAATTAAGGAGTATTATAGTCTTTTCATAATTTATGTTTAATTATATAATAGAATAAAGATAAGTATTTTCTACAAGTATTACCTCATATCAAACATAATTTTAAAACCTCATTTTCACTGTCATTCTCAATCTCAGTCCCAATCTCAATTTCTCTAAATTAAGATCTACATACCAAACAGGGCCATAGTTTTTAGGTTAGGGCTTTGTCTCCTATGCGTGCCTTCCATCTTTTTATGTTCTTTAGGGGGAAAAAGAAAGATTACAAAGGGAGATTCTCACACTTAATCAGCTTCATGATTCATGATCATGTGCCATTTTGATTACATTTGTATTTATCTTTAAAAAAATAATAATAAACTCTCTCTAAAATATAATGAAATTTTGAGAAAATTTTTTGTTATTAATGAATTTATATAAATAATTAAATTATTCTTATTAAAAATAAAATGATTCTTAAATTTTATTTAAATAATTATTTTTCTTCTTATATTCAAAATAATGCAATAAAAATTAAAAATTTAACATGTAAAATTGTAATTTGTTGTTATATTGTTGCAATATAAGAATAAAAATTGTGATTATTTAAATAAAATTTGTGAATCATTTTACTTTCAACAAGAGTAATTTAGTCATTTCTATAAATTTATTAATAATAAAAAAAATTTAAAAATTTCAATAAAATTATGATATTTAAGAAAATCAATTATAATTTATATAATTAAAAAATTTACTATCATTTTTCTTTTACCTTTCCTTCCTTATACAGAAAGTTGAGCTAACCAAACAAACATACCAAATAATTTTTGCACCATGTGGGGTAATAGGTCGTGCTTCGGCACGTGTGTGGTTATTTAGTTAAAAAAAGATTCAACTAAATACCAAGAATAAAACTTAATTATTAGTAGATATCAAAAATTTGAAATTTCAATTCAGGAGGATTAAAGTAAAATAATTTAATAATAAAAAATTAAAATACTCTTCACTTATTAATTTTGTTTGATATGTAAAATTAATAATTGTTAATTTTTTTACTTCCCTTATGAATTATAAATTACATCAATTTTTCACACAAGTACCAATATCAGTTATTAATTTACTAATTTTATTTGTTAATTTAATAACATTCATTATAAGTTACTAAACTCATTAATAATTTATAATTGGTGTTAGTAACTTAAAAAATAAAGTTAGTAAATTAATAATTGATGTTATTACTCGTAATTAATGATTAATAAGTCTTGTATGATTATTAACAAATTGAGTCATGTGATTTATAACTCATATTAGTAAATTAATAAGTAAAATAAAAAAATTAAGAACTAATAATTATATATTTTAGATAAAATTAATAAGTGAAAGGTATTTTATTTTTTTACTATTAAAATTATTTTTATTTTAATTCTCTTAAACTGATCTGGAGATTTTGAAACTCGTTGATAATTCATATTCCTAGTCCTCAGTTAAAATTTTCCCTCTGCTTCACTGGCGCTTTGTGTTTTATTGCGCTGTGTATTTACTTTTTCCGTTTTCCTTTTTCTTCCCCTCCCCCGCGCGACTCATTGTTAAATTGTTCAATTTCACACAAAGATTGAAGTGTTGAAGATAAGGAAAAATGACAATAAAATTTATCTAAATATATATATATATATATATATTTATATTTATATGATAATTTAGTTTTTCAAAATGTTATAATTTTACTAAATTTTTTAAAAAAATTTTATGTTATTAATAAATTTATATAAATGATTAAATTATCTTTATAGCAATATCATGAATTTTACATGTAAAGTTGTAATTTATTGTTATATTGTTATGAATATAAGAAAAAAATTATAATTATTTAAGTAAAACTTGTAATAGTTACTTGTTATTTCCAACACTTGTAAAAATATCAGAAATTTAATATAAAAATTTATAATTTACTGTTGTATCATTGCAAATATAAAAAGAGAAATTATGATTATTTAGTAAAACTTATGATAATTACTTGTTATTTCCAACACTTATAACAATATCAGAAATTTGACATGCAAACTTGTGATTTATTGTTACATTATTACGAATATAAAAAGAAAAGTTGTGATTATTTAAATAAAATTTATAATTATTACTTGTTATTTTCAACACGTGTAGTAATATCAAGAATTTGACATGTAAACTTGTAATTTACTGTTGCATTTTTGAAAATATAGAAAGAAAAATTGTAATTATTTAAACAAGATTTGTGATTATTACTTATTATTTTCAACATTTGTAGCAATATTATGAATTTGATACGAGAACTTGTGATTTACTGTTGTATTGTTGTAAATATAGGAAGAAAAGTTGTAATTATTTAAACAAAATTTGTAACTATTACTTGTTGTTTCCAAATTTGTGGCAATATTATGAATTTGACATGTGAACTTGTAATTTATTGTTGTGATTATAAGAAGAAAAGTTGTAATTATTTAAACAAAATTTGTGATCATTTTATTTTCAGCTAGGGTAATTTGATTATTTATATAAATTCATTTATGACAACAAAGTCCCTAGAGATTTCAATATAATTATAGCATTTTAAGGGATCAAATTATCATTTATATATTTCAAAGAAATTTTAATTATCATTCTCTTTTAAAAAAAGATATTAAATAACTAAAATATGGGCCATGTAATTTGTATATGCAGTTTGAGGAAAGCCATATTTATGAATGGCATGATTTTTTTAAAAAAAGTTGGTGCCAAACTACTAGTTTATATATATAAGCATAATTTGATTTTTTTTTAGTCATGTTGTTTTTATTATACTGACCTAAGCAGTATAGTTAAGATTAAAATGTTTTAAACTTAAACATTTACGATTTAATTCGAATTATTAGCTTACATCTTTATTAACGATTCAATTCAAGACATGCATGCATCAATTTGGTGAGGTTTGCATAGGTGCAATATTTTTCTTTTGTTCTCTTTCCTGTGTGTTCATTTTCCTGTATGACCTAACTGTAATTCTCTTTTTGTTTTTCTGTGTGTTTGTTCATTCTTCTAAAAAAGATTATGCTATCCAAGCTTTACACACCTAAAAAGAATCGACTAAAAGTTTGAGTCACGAACTTCTTCTTCTTCTTTTTTTTGGACAAGGGACAATTACAAATTAAATAATACTACCCACCTGCAGTGTATTCTTGACAATGTTTGAGAGACATGCCCCTCTCTCTAAATAGGATTTCATTTTTTTTAAGAGAAAATTCTGTTGGCATCAACCATTATCCATATATTATATTTTGAACTTACAAATAGAGATTTAATTTTAATATTTGATAATAAAGAAGATAAAAGCTAGTGTCTTAATCTCATATCAATGAGAGATACTATTGAACCAGTTGAGGTATTAAGCAGTGTTTTAGACCAGGAAGACAATTAATTATATAAAACTCGTATAAAGACCTGACGTGAGACGATTATGCAGAGTCTGTTCATTGTGCAGGAATTAATGATAATATATACAAGATCATCTTGTAAACTTAACACCGCGGTCAGATTTACTTTCTGGCAAGTATTTATTCAGATAAAGATAACTAGTTGCTTGGGGGATAAAGCCAGGTCACAAAACAACAGTTCTTTAATTAATATATTCTATCATCCCTTCATGTTCTCAGAATTCTTTTGTCTTTTTAACTACTAGTGAGTAGTGACGACCCTGGGCGTTGTTCAAGTTAATCTTATGTATGGGCAAAACACACTAAGCCTCAGATTAATTTAATAGCTTGAATTATAGTCCAAAAATCTAGCAAGTGTTCGAGTCATGAAGAATGAATCAATATAGTATGATTCAAATGCACTTGTTATTCTGCTCATTACACAGCAGTCCGTTTACTATGAGGGTAACCCAAACACATGGCCTCTTCATTGGACTTAAAATAGCACCAGCAACAACAAAATTGAACGAATTCAGAATTCTAAATCTTATTTATTTTTTTACTATTTTTCATCTTTTTAAGTTAAAAAATTATACTACAAGTTTGAACAAAGTCACTAACCAGATCAAAATTGCATCTTAAAGATCTGACTGTACCAAAGACTCCAAACCTCAATTTAATATCCGCCTATGGAAAAAATCCTATCATGGATTAAATAATTTAGCTAAAAACGGATAAAATAATGAAAAAAATTGTATTCAATTTGTTCACATTTTTAGATGTAAATACAATTTTTTTCAGCAGAAATATATTATTACTTCATATGTTTGCAAATTTAAATATAAGATAAATTACTATGTGCCGCTTTATTTTTATTTATAAACAAAGTTATAAATTTCAAGAAATTTTTATTATATTATTCTCAAATTACTAGTGCTTATTTTCACTAACCAAATTTATTTTGTTAATTATAAGATAATTTACTTTAAATATTTTAATTTCAAACAGTAATTATTATATTTAACAACATGAATTAATTATTTTTTTGTATGTGAAAATGGAGGGAGTATGTTTTAATAAATATATTTTTTTTAAATGAATAGTTAACTGAGAAACCCTTCGTAAACCACAGATCCACAGCAGCAATAGCAATAGCGAACAAGCAACTTGAGCTTCGTCTTCCTCTTTCTCCACCCCTCAATACTTGCTAATTTCCATTATCTTCTCTCCCATTGCTGTGCCTAACTCTCTCCCCTTCAGCCTCCTCATCGCACGATGAACAAGTTATTTCTTAAATCTCATTGTCTCCCTCTGTTATCAATCTGCCCAAAATTTCTCTTCATTGACAAGTCTTTCATCTCTTCATTATCTATGTCTCATTTGTCCTCCCCCGTAGCCAATACCAGTTCCGGCTGCTCCTGTCTATCCCATTTCCCAGACTCTACTCTAGTCTCCTATGGGCCTTCACTTCACAAAGGAACAAAGCCATCTCAATTTCTCGTCACCAAAAACTCAGTGCTAGAGGATGGCGATGATTTCCTTGATGAAGAAAGCTTCACCAGGGTCTTCGATATCGCAGCGCTTCGCGTTCCTTCTAAAGACTGTTTTACTCTCGAAAGCAGACTCCGAGGTCACCTTTTGAATTGGCCTCGTATTCGCAACATCGTTCGAGTCCCTGGTGATGACGTCGATCCCGAGATTGTGGAGCTATTGGAATGCCCAAATAGCGGCCATAGTGATGGTGAAGAAGGAGTCTTGTCTCCTTGCATCGTCGAATTTACGGGAAAGCAGAGGGCGACGGCGACGTTTTAAGTCCGGTGCTGTACAGGGATAAGCTGGCAAAAACGTTTAATTCTCGCGGTTTCGTAAAATTTCGGAACCTTGCGAAGATCTCCAGGCCGAAGAAGAAAAAGAAGAAGAAAGAGCAGGGGAATATGGAAGGAAATAGGCACCTTCAGAAGAATGGTTTTGCCGTAGTGGAGGTTCTTGAGGACGAGAAGGAAGGAAGTGTAGAGCTGAAGAATTTACTAGGTGAAGAGTTTAAAAGCAATAAATGGAGGGGATCGACGAGGTTATTGCTTTTGGATGAGAGCTACGCGGGTAAAGCCGTGGAGGTGTTGCCTGAGGCAATAAAGGTGGCTCTTTCATTTCAGCACTGATATTCTGTGAGTTAATTAGAAATTTACATGCCCTCTTCATTGGTTTACTTGATGCTAAGTATGTTACTTAAATAATATGATCCATCGCTACGTAATATGTGGGCAAATTTTTGCTTCTCCATAGTCTCAATGTTCCTATTCGTTCCCTTTTAACTTCAATCTGTTTTTCGGAATCTAATGGTGTATATATTCTCTTGCAGTATATTAACACATTCTCTCTTGTCTGCAGGCTGTCTTGGCAGAATATGGAAAAAAGAGTACAACGTTGACCATTGAGCTTGTTAAATGCCAATTGACTCTGTTTTATGATTACTGGCAGATGAATGAGGTATATCATAACCATGTATATATCATTATGTTCATTATGTGTGTGTGCAAGTATATAAACTTTTCATCGGGAAATATTGCCTTCTCACTTTGTCCCTCCGTTGCTTTATACTGAAAGGCATTTTCCACCCTCAGTTTATTTTATTGGTACTTGTACTTTTTGTATTTTGTTGGTAGCTCTTGAAGTTCTATTAGCATGTGAATGTTAAATACGTAAGTGGTTATATCTGATTGATTAGTTATTTGATAATATTGTTCAAAATCATATCCAAATCAAGATTTTTTGGGTCAAGGTTAAAATGAATAAAATGGACAACGAGAATATCATAAGCAAATAACATAAATTCTGCAAACTGTGATCCTACTAATATCTCATTTGCTGCTTTGAAGCTTGTATTGCATTCGTTGTTCTTCAGTCCCTTATTAGTATATAAGCCCTTGTTCTTTGTTCTCCATGCTATGCTGGCATTGCTTGATGTTCTTTGTTTGATTTCAGAATCCGAGTAATGCTGGATATCCTGAGTCCATTTGATTGTTGCAGATATTGGAGGCCTTGCTTCCTGGGTTTATGATTGTTCCCTCCGCTTTTGAGACTGTTGGCCATATTGCACACCTGAATCTGAGAGATGAACATTTACCGTACAAGAAGCTTATAGCAAAGGTTTTATTGTGCTTGCACTAGAACATTTATCCCCAAGCTTTCATTGTTCTTGTATTTCCACAATAAAATATAATCTCACAATTCTAATATCATCACCGGCCCACCCCCCCCCCCAAAAAAGAAAAACACATTGCAAATTACATTCCATTTTTGTTTTTTTGGTAGAATACATTAGATATTGACAACATGATTATTTTATCCAACCATTTCCAACAATTTAATCACCCCCGTGCAACAGATGGGGCACATTTCTTGATGTAATGTAAATTGCATTAGAAATTTTCAATTTGTCTACTTTCATATACAGGTAGTGTTGGATAAAAACAAGCCAAAAATACAGACAGTTGTGAACAAGACTGACTCCATTCATAACGAGTATAGGACCATGCAGCTTGAGGTTTTAGCTGGAAATCACTCACTTGTAACCACAGTGGTTGAGAATGGGATTCGCTTTCAGGTTGACCTAGCAACAGTGTATGCTCTATTTCCATCACAAGTCAGTGCAGAAACAATTGTTTGCAATGCTTTTGTTTTGAATTGCTCAAAATCTATTACTTGTGAGTTATCTCTTCTGATTTTTTGTTTTTTGTTTTGGTGAAAAATTCATCTACATAAATGGCATGACACCATTTTGTTATGAAAATTTCACGATGACATGTTTGCCTCATGAAGTTGTGGATTATAACATTAATCGGTGGTGATGCAATTTTATCAATCTTATAAATTTCTATTATACTTCATAATGATTATTGGTTTCTTTGTTAAATTCTCTTGAAGTTGGGTGGAACATCTCTGGCCTCTTGGATCCAATTATGCTTTCACACTAATGATCTATTGGTTGCTTCTGCTCAGCACAAACTGATATGTTTTTTTGATGCCACCATACAATATAACATGGCACAATCAGTCTGTGGATAGTCAGTGAATGATGATCTCCGTTTTCAGAAATGAATTCTATGTTATATGCTTGATTTTCTTCTACGCAGGTATTGGAATTCAAGGCTTGCAACCGAAAGACAAAGGCTTCTGAGCAGTTTTACACGCAGTGATGTTGTTTGTATGTATCACCATTGATTGATTGGTTATGATTCATCATCAGGCTATGAATTGCATTGCTTTGAAGCATTTGTAAGATTTCGTTGATATCTTGCATTTTGATTGAGAGGAGAATGTGCTTATGTTACTATGGCAGTGAGGATAGAATCGGAAATGTATATTATTCTTGCTTAAGTACAACAGAAAATTACAAGAATGGATTCTTGACAGCACAAATTACATCTCAAATGGTGCCGATGCTGTATTCTGGTTTTTGATCAAGTTTTGGTTCTTTATCAGGAACATCCATGTTTTCAGATTATCCTACAGAAATGACTTGGAACATCTCCAGATATTGAATATGAGGTTGAACAGGGGAAAAAAGGGAGAAAATCCAATAAAATGGGCAGTGCAGAAGTTTCCTAAATAGTTCCTTGAATGAATTCTTTTGACATGCATTATGGTCTCTATTTTCAGTTTCTAAATTAATAAAGCATAATCTTCATTTTATATTTCATGAAAAAGATCATGATTTACTTACTAGGGTTGCATCATATACTTAATGAACAGGTGATGTTTTCTCTGGAGTTGGTCCGATAGCTATATCTGCAGCAAAGATAGTAAAGCGTGTTTTCGCCAATGACTTGAATCCATATGCAGTTGAATATCTGGAGAGAAATAGTGTGCATAACAAACTTGAGAGGAAGATTGAGGTATGGTTGCTTGTTGATGAAACCCCTGGAAATCTAGTTCACCTCAGTCCTCCAGTCTAAGGTGACATGAGCTAGTTGCACTTTGTCTCTATGTTAAAGAAATTTAATCTTCTGTTACATATGAAAAGGTTAAAGAAAGAGAGTATACTCTCTAATTATCATTTATTCCCTGATCTACTGAGGATGACTATGGTCCAATTTTCAGATCTTCAGGCATTTTATCTTGGTTAATTTTAGGAGTATTCCGAATTTTTTTGTTCATCATGTGCACGGGGTGATATATATTTGTTGAACTTTCTAAAGCTGCAGTGAATTAGTAAAGTTTAAAATATACTTGTTTTAACTTTTATGTACTGACAAGGAGCGAGAAATTGCAATTTAATAAGTGTGTCTCATAACTAGTTTCGTCGTCATCGTCATCTTCTTTTTGACGAAGCTTACGATTTGTTCTTTTAGGTCTTTAACATGGACGGAAGAAGGTTCATTAAATCTTTGTTTAACAGTGATAAAGCTCGGGCCATCACTCAAGTGGTTATGAATTTACCGAATGATGCTGCGGAATATCTAGGTTGCCTTCGCTAACAAGATCATCCTTTATTTATGTCACCCGTTTTTCTTTTTTGGGTTCTATATGTCCCTTGTCTATTTTTGTCTAATGTACTGATCTTTTCGACGGCATCAAAATACCTGCATGCTGATGCATGTCAAGCCGAATTGCTGGAGATGAGAATACACTATGTGTTTCCGTGTATAGACTTGGTTTAGAATTATGCAAGGCTGCGCTTGAACTTTCCAATTCAAATGCACTACAGAACCAATGAAATCATGGCCTCAAGACCTATCTAATGCAGGGGAAAGTAGGATCGTAAAATTCGTGTGACTTCAGTTCCAGGTTGTCTTAATTTATTCCTGGAAAGTGAAATTAGTAACACTTTATTGTGGGTGCATGCACTGACTGGGGTTCTCGAGAGTCTGTAGTTTGGTTGCTGGGTTCCATAGAATGCCTCCTTTTAGGAAATACTTTGCTTCTGCCCCAATTTTTGTTGACATGTATATTCATAGAGTTTTGTGGATGTTTTGCAACCATTGCAGATGCATTCCGGGGAATATACAGAAATAGACCCAAAGATGGAGGGCTCAAGTTCCCGAAGATTCATGTTTATGGATTCTCCAAAGCTCAGGATCCAGAATTTGAGTTTCATGAGGTAGGTTGCTGATTTCATTTGGTTTCTTTATGCAGTGAAGCTGAGACTCTTTACAAATTGATGTAGACTGTAGCTACCACTACCAGGCCAATTTAAGTGTATAACATTTTGCTAAACCCTTGTGATGCAGAGAATAAGAATTGCTCTGATGGAGGTGGCAGTAAATGTAGACATGCGACGGGTGCGACTAGTTGCACCAGGAAAATGGATGTTGTGCGCATCATTTATCCTCCCCGAGAGTGTAGCATTCGCAACTACTGCAGTAGTTTCCTAATCAGTGTATATTTATAATTTAATCATACTGCGCTTGTTTATACCATCAAACCTGATGTGTGTTTGGAGTTCTAATATTATCAAGTGGTAGATATTAAAATCAATTTTCCAGCTCGAGCTATTTTGAAGTGTAAGAGCTGCCATGAGGCTGCTTGTAGATTTAAATTTGTTTGTGCCATCTAAGGGATTATTTTGTTCCAAAATCATGTATTGTTAATATAATGAGTCCCATGTTGAGAAGCTTCATTAGTTGAATGGAGTTTATAAGTGTAAAAAACTTTCTTACTAAATGTGTTAGTTTTTTAAAATGGACTCTTCTTTTGAACTTATACTCATGATATTAGTGTTTTTATTGAGAGGTTGACATGACAGAAAGAACTATTCATGAAGGGTTTTGATCGGTAGGAGGTTAAGTGAAACTATCAGGGACCTTGTCTCTCGATAGGGTGGCATTATAATGAGTCTGATATTGGGAAGCTTTACATGTAAAGAGTGGTTTATAAGTTTAAAGAGATCTCCCTCTTAACAAGTTGATTTTTTAGAAGTGGCTTTTCTTTTAAACTTGTATTCATGACAATTAATTTGTGTGAAAACTTGTCTTGATTTCATTCTTGCATGTTATCATTTTCTTTACAAGCAAAACCCACACACAAAAAAAGATTGTATAAGTTTAACTCATTTGACATGAGAAGTAATGTAGAGTCATTGAATTTTTAAAGTGTGTTTGGTTACCCCTACAATTAATTATAGCTCTTATATCTCTTCTTCTCTTTAAAAGCCACTTAAACACTTTTTTTCTTTTTGTAAATCTCATTTAGACTTGGAGACAACTAAAATTTATTACAAGCCTAATAACAAAATATGCTAGAGGAGAAAAAGTTCTTGCGTTGTCATTGATTGTTGGTAACTAAAGTCCAACTCCGTTCTTAATGAGTTGATTTCACTTTACTGTGAGAAAAATTATTTGAAATTTATATAATTATCAATTATTTTGAAACTCTATTTGATAATATTCTTTTAAATCAAATTTATACAACTGAAATTCGAGCCCGCAACTTGAAAGTGAAATCAACGGATTTGCTCTTACTCCTTATAACTCAACACCGGTGGCACCAAATGTCCGTTTTGAAAAAAGGCTATACTATTGGTTGGAGTATGATTTATGATTTATAGAAGGAAAAATTAATTTTTAATCTTTCAATTTTAATTCACTTATAATTCGATCCCTCAATTATAATTCTTGCGATTCAGTCCCTCAACTTTTGATTTACCTATAATTCGGTCCTTATTTTTTATTTTTTTTAAAAATTCTTATCAAATAAGAGGGATAAAAAATGTTCATATATGATGTGAGATATAAGTTAATATAAAAAAAATTAACAAAAATTAAGGGACTAATTTGTAAGTGATTCAAAAGTTAAGGGATGAGTCATAGGTGAGTTATTATTGAGTCACAGTGAGTCATAGTTGAAAGACTAAGTTATAAGTAATTTAAAAGTTGGAGGAGTAAAAAATTAATTTTTTTTTTTATAAAAATTGAAATTCGTGAACGGCAGGATTCGAACCTGCGCGGGCAGAGCCCACATGATTTCTAGTGATGCCCGATAACCACTCCGGCACGTCCACGAGATGCTGAAGGCACTTTGTCTGATATTAAACATTATAAAAGGCACATGGCTCATCCTGCTTGTGGTTTGAAATATTAACCTAAAACAGAATAATTGGGTAAGAAACCATCAAGCTTAATCATTTCTGTTACAAATAAGCATCAGGTGTGTTGACCCTTGTTCCATCTGGTGGCACTTGGCAATATTTCAGTATTCCTAAGCAATTTAGACCAGTGATTTCGGACTCTTTTTTAACTTTTCTTTTTTTTTTTCCCCGTGAATATCCTTGTTATCTTTAAATAGTCTGAATTGTCAGCACCTATATTTACCAAACCACTTGATAAAATATAATTCAAATCTAGTTTCAATAAATGCACTATTCCAAAACTGATAGGGGGGTTAGACATATTTCAATAAAATACACTATTAAAAAACTTTCTTATTCTCTCAACACCTAGACAACACTAGATCGTTGAAGGAAAAAAATTACAATGACACATCATTTTAATTTACATTTAATACAGTAGTGTCTAACTTAAATAGTTTGTATCAAGTTTAAAAGTGTTCCTTTAACTGTTAACAAACTTATGTAGTTACATTTGTCATTGGACGGTGCTTATTTAGTTAATTCTTTTTTTTTAACCCACATGCAATCATATTTAAAACGCTTTTGAGTATTAAATGTGAATACTTGTCAAGAAATCTAAATTTTAGTTCATCACTTTGATCTGAATCCCGTTGATCGTTTATTATATATATATATATATATATAAAATATATCATTGATTTTGTTAACATTGGTTTCAAGCGTTTCCATCACGACGCGGAGTTTTGGGCCACTTTGGAGCTAAATTATAAAAATATCTATTTAAGTGGACCATAGGGTAGGTCCAAGTCCAATCCAACCAAGTGGCCCAACTAGAGTTTATATAAATATATTTATCGAATAAAGCGCCCGCATTAACGAACAAAATCGCTCCTCCATTCACGCGCACAGAACTGTAACATAGTAAGCAGTGAAGTGAAGAAGAAGCTCTCTAGAAAGCTCTCTAGCGCACTTTCGGAATCTGAAGACGAAAAATGCAGCAGCATCCGGCCTCTCTGGATTCTGATCCTCAGCTCCCACAAATCAAAATTCACCATCCTTCATCACCTCGCCACCACACCGCCGCCACCCCTACACCCACCGCTGGCGCCCGCCGCAAGATTGGTGTCGCCGTTGACCTCTCTGATGAGAGTGCATATGCCGTTCGCTGGGCCGTTCAGCAATACATCCGCCCCGGTGACGCGGTGATCCTCTTACACGTCAGCCCCACCTCTGTCCTTTTCGGTGCCGATTGGGGCTCCATCGATCTTTCTATCAATACAGATCCTAACTCAGAGGAAGATGCTGTCAACAACGTTAACAGCAATGAACCGTCCAAGAAGAAGCTCGAAAATGATTTTGATGCTTTTACGGCGGCCAAGGCAGCCGATCTCGCTAAGCCTCTCAGAGACGCTCAGATTCCCTTTAAGATCCATATTGTAAAAGATCACGACATGAAGGAACGTTTGTGCTTAGAGGTGGAGAGGCTGGGACTGAATGCGGTGATCATGGGAAGTCGAGGATTCGGAGCTGCACGTCGAGGCAGCGATGGCAAGCTCGGGAGCGTCAGCGATTATTGTGTGCATCATTGTGTTTGTCCGGTGGTCGTGGTCGGTATCCAGATGAAAAGGAAGATGGAATTGGCGGCGGCGGCACTGTTGATAGTGCTGTAGTAGCTGTGAAGGATGAAGAAGAGGGCGAAGCAGTAATCAAGCCAGTGCAACATGAACATACAAAAGGTTAGGAATTTTATCCTGAGAGATATTGAAGGATATTTGATGTGATTATTTTTATTTTGTTTGCATACTGCTTAGGCTTCTTGGGTTAATGTAAATACAGTTATATTTTTCTTTGGAATCAATGTTTACAGTAACTGAGGATATAATTGTTCAAAATTAAGCTGTGAACCTGAGGGGCACAATCTCCATGCTTTATGGAGGATGCAGTTTACTTGAGGCAGTGTTCTGTATGTTTGACATAGATAGATAGCTGCAATGGCCTATGAGTGAGAGTGGAGATCGTGTCGTGCTGTAAAAGACATAACAACCGGGCCAGAGCTTTGCTATTTCTGTTGAATAGATTCAACAGAACGATAAATGTCTCGTATTTTATTGTAGATGTGGCTTTAGATTCTAATTCTTTGGTGGATGATAGCGCTTGGCAGGACCACAATTTTTGATATATTCTCATTTTTTAGGTCGTGATGATATATAGAATCAATCGGAGACTCCGATTTGTTTATTTGATTAATTAGGATAGCTGATGGTGATCATATTGAAATTCAGAGATTAATGGGAAAAAAACTTCAGTTATTTTGAGCTCATTTTTCTAAGTCCATGGTAGTAGTTGGCTATCAAGTAATCGCCATGCATTGAGATTTGAGAATAAACATGAATGCTATGTTGGTTGCGTGAGATACGGATTTTAGTGTTGCTCATGAGATCATGATCCATGAACGATTGACTTGTCTATCCAGTGCATTCTTGATCAAGTAGGGTTGTGGCTAGCCTGAACTCAGTTTGGGATTAACTCAGATTTGATTTGGCTAGCCAGCGTATTCTGGATCAAGTATCTGAAATTTTAAGGCAAATGCAATGCCATGTCTCCGCTTAGAGAAATTAACAGTCTGTACTTTCCCCAAAATCAGCTGGCAGTCCATGACAACTATGCTTGCTGTTATTTGAAATATGGCTCATTTTCTTTGGCATTATCACATATCATTTTTAGAGTTTGTTATATTCTACTATCTCTCCAAATTTATGTCAGATAACTACTGTTTTAGTGTGAGTTCAAGGTGAGGGATGGAATTTGAATTCTACACCAAACTGAACTATATACACCTGTGATTTGTGTAGCAATCCTTTCTATTTTTTCAAGCACATAAAAACCTTTTGTCTGTAAACATGCATTATCATGTTTTCAATTTATGAATTTATAAAGCCACGTCAATATTATTTCCGTGACTTAAAAATCTGTTTGAGCTGCACCTGATGTTCAAATCACTTGCTTTCGTCTTTTCATTTTAGCTGTTTAAGTTTATACTGGTTATGAAAAAATGACTTCCTCGTTGTCGGTTGGCTTGTAGCAGAGGATTAGCTGGAGTCAAGTCATGTCTTTATCTTGTTTCTGCAGGTGTGCCTTCTAACTTTTCTTTTACCCCTCCTTTCATTTTCCTTGTGCATGTAAATGATAAAAAGTCTTTTTTTCTTGTGATCATCTGATGTGGCCTCCAACCAGGTACTACCAGTTGAGTTTTGGTCTGGGTCAGTAGAAGAAAATCATCTTCCCTTTGGTTCTTCATTACTTATTGCTTCATGGGTCTCATGCATCTTGACGTCCTTTCCTTTGTTTGCCGTTCTGCAGAATTTTTGTGCTCCAACAGTGACTGGCCGAAACAGTTTGGGGGTAGATTTTCTGTATGGAGAGCGCTCTGTATTTCTCTCCGCTGTGTTGTACTTGGAGCATTTCTTGCCTGTGAACTTTCGATACATTGTCGTGAATGATTTTGTATTGGCTTGATGTAATGTCGGTATTTTTAAGCTGTTGGGAGATTGATTTAGAGTGGTATGTCCTCTTCGATCTAGATGTACAAATTGCCTGCGACTATTTTTAAGCTATCATTTCCTTTCTGTATCTTGGAGATGGGATTATCATGGTGAGCATCCAAATGAAGATAATTTGATTGCATTATGTTGATAGAAGCACTGCAATCTTCAGAAAGTCAGCATGTCTGTACGTTGTTGATAGAACAGAGACGGAAAACGTTTTCCGCTGGTGAAAATCAGTAATTTTGATTGATTTTGTGTAACTAACTGCATCCTGAAACTGAACTCACTGTTTACAGCTCTGTAAACAACACGGCTTTCAATATATATGTTGGTACTTGTCCTTACTTGTAACTGGATGTTATCTAATTTTTAGTAGTTGGAATAATAAGCTCATGCGTGAAACTTTTTTTTTTTTTTTTTTTTTGGTTCGGATTTCTACTCGTTCAATGTAATGCAATATCAAGTATTATGGATGGTTATGGTATGGTGTGAAATGGTAGATTAAATATAAATAATATAATCAAGACTTACAAAAGGACCCTTTTAACTTGTTAAAAAAAAACCCTCTCTGGCAAAAATCAAAATTAGTAACATCAAAAAGATCATATAGCAATATCCAACGATCCGGCGGGGGAAAATATTGTCCTAGTCTGGGGTATCGGAGATGGGATCTCGAACATAGGAGATGAGGAAAACAAACTTGAAGAGGCCAATGTTGGCGAGCTCGAAGCTTGGAGATGACTTCCTTTTGTCTCAATATTAAATTTTCTGAGAAACTATTAAATTATTTGTTTCAAAAGCATTTCAGTCATACTATTATTTTTTAAAAGGATTCGTCCTACAAAATAGTTCATAAATTTAAGATCCTTTTTGGCAAATAACATTTTATACTGGTCCTTAGGTTTAATGCAGCTGGATCCTCTCTCTATCCATTTCTCTCACTGTCTCTCAGCATCTCAATTTAGCCCCTTGGATCTATATCTAATGTTCTATATTTTGCCATGTCATTTTATATTAAAATAATTTAATTTTTTTAAAAAATAATTCTTTCTTTAGATTTTTTTTTCCATTTTCTATTTTCAAAACTTATTCTAAAAAATTACTTTGTAAAATTTTGCTTAGGGACCTACAATTTGATTTATTTAAATTATAACTTCACATATTTAATAAGAATCTGTTTAAGAAAATCTATAGAGTAAGCCTATAGTTTTACTTATTCAAATTTTGGCCTGACTTATTTAAACAGAGATCTACAATCTAGGTTTTTCAAACTTTGACTTGACCCATTTAATAAAAATATGCTTAAAAAGTCTAAAGATTTTTTTTTTGTAGAACAAGGTCAAGCCAAAATTTGAAAGCTCAAGGTTTTTTTAAAACAAATTTTTATTAAATAAATTAGGCCAGAATTTAAATAAGTCAAACTGCAAGTTTCTTCACAAAAATATGTAAAATAAATCTTTGAAATAAGTTTTGAAAATAGAAAACAATAAAATCTAAAGAAGGAATTATTTTTTAAAATTAAATTATTTTAAGATTGTATGATGTGGCAAAGTATGGACATTGAATACAGATCCAAGGGGCGAAATTGAGATGCTGAGGGACATTGAGAGAAATGGATACTGACAGGATCCAGATCTAGATTTAATTCTCCCTTTTCATTTCCCACGGCCTCCACGGGGGGCCAATTTCCTTTTTTTTTTTTCTCTTCTATCGTTATTTATTTTAAATATGGTATGTATCTTTCTTAGCCATTCAGATCCAAAAGTCTCAGACTATCACTATGCCATCCTCAAGCCTTATCATAGGTTTAATATATGGTCATATAGCCAAGTCACTCGGTTAAAATTATTGTATCATTGATAAACTAACAAAATGACATCGAGAGTCAATATTTATTCTAGCATAAGTTTTTCATTGCGGAAATTTTGCAATAGAGAAATTTCAGGCAATTCATAGTTTAGGCATCAGATCACATAGGTTTAATTTAAGGATCATTTTCAGCAACTAATAAACCGTTATAATTCTAAATATATGATGTTTTTAAACCAGGTTAAATCTTCACAAAAATCTGTGTTTTGGGCTTTTGGGCGGCCGTTGGACACTTATTCTCTGAGAAAGTTGACATCAGTACAATATCCTTTGTCAAAGTGTCCGTCCTATGATTGTGGTTCTGCTCCTTTTAAGCACGGACTCGATATTTGAACATTGAATCCTCGGACCAAATTTGCTGATTCATTGCCATGCTGCCTCCTGAGGCTGGCCTACATTAATAATGAAAGCTTTCTTTTTTCTTTTTGACCAGCTATGAAAGCTTTCTTTTAGTGACGAATAATTTGCAGTCCATTTTTGACCTTTTGTATCCTTGCCTGTTGAGCGAACAGTAGCTGCATAGCCTCAATAATCTTGATGGTTCTTTCAATAATATGACTATCGAAGCACCTAAGAAATTCATCATTACATAATTCAATGGCGAAGATCTGGAAATTTCATCACCCAAACTGTTACAAAGTCGAGACTATTATAATTAAGGATCGAAACCCAGGGATAATCTTCTGCCTGTAGAATAACGATAGTTCACACATGCACACACACAGGATGAGGAACTTCAACGATGCAATCCTGCAAGGGTACATGTAGCTGCTTTTGTGTAAAGCAGATAAAGTAATAATTCAACCAATGAGAACAACACTAAGGAATTAGCCCCCCCGCCCTTCCTAATTGGGGAGACTAATTATAATTACAATCACATTTGGCTTATTTAATATTACAACTGTATGTCTTATTAATAATATGTTGATGTGGTGGATTATACCTAAATAACTAATTTTTCTCTTGATCAGTTATTAAGTTAATTAGCTTGATCCATTATTGAGCCAAGTCTTTACAAACACCTAAATCGACTCATGTCTAATCCAAGTAATTTATATTCATTTTTTGTAGTTTCATATTTATTCTTTATTCTTGTATATATGGCAGCCAATCATATACTCACGGAAAGGTGGAAATTAAAAGAAACCTTGTTTAGATAATTAGATATAAATATTAAAAAAAAAACTAAAAGGCATAAGAGAAACAGAAAAAGGACTTTATCTTAAGGCTGCGTTTTTCTAACTTAGAGATCGATCAACGTTATATATGAAAAATATTAAAAAGAGTTTTACAATTTCAAACATACTCGAAGGTAAAGGAAAAGGTGAACTATACGAATTGATTGGAGAATACAGTCTTCTCCGTTATTGATTCGTTTTCTTTCTCAGTCTTATCTTTGCTATCAATCCTTGTAATTGCTCCCAAATGACCTCATCAAGTCGAATCCTCACTTTCCTCCTATCTTTATTTCCTTAATAATTTACAAATGTTGATTAGGGCTCAGCCGTCAAAACTCTTCCTCCACGTACGTTTCTCTCTCTCTTTCTCTATATATATACTTCATCTAATCTTTATTATAAAATACTTTCAATCGTTTTATATATATTAAAAAAAGTTAATTTTTTATGTTATAAAAAAATGAGATATACTTTCATTTTTACTCTTAATTTTAAGTAATGATATACTTATATTAAATGCCTTTACATTAATTAAGAAATAATAAAATTAAAAAATGATTTAATTATTATAAGATATCTTACATTTTGAACAAAAAATTACTTAAAAAAGGGGTTTACAAATAAGTCTTATAGGGAGTATATAGCAGCATCGTCCCGTAAGGTTGCCCGCAAGTGTTTTGCAGCACGTCCTTTTGTTGTCATTAACCGTTTTGTGGGATGTATGTTGATCCTGTACATAGAATTAATTAGTGTCGGCAGTTATGCAATCTTAATTAGTGTCGTTTCGGTGGATTTATACATTCTCTTGCTGCTCCATTGAGTTTCTGCAGCATGTTGGGGACAAAGTGGATGATCCATGTTCAATCAATAAAGTATACACTATATTGGGAAAGCGTGTAAGGGATTCCATTTCCTGCACATTCCTGATCTCCATCATACCCAACAAAAAGAAAAAAAATGACATCGACTAATATATTAAAGTCTCTTTAATGACAAGTTGATTTTTTTAAATGCATCTGACCACATGTAAGGTTTGTTTTTATGATTATATTAATTTTTGAATTTTTATTAAAATACTCTATATTTTTACACGTCAAGGAAAAAGACGTCTAAGGTATCATTTAACATGAAACCTATTTTTTGTTATTATTTTTAGATGAACTCCTCTCTCTATCACGAAATTGATTCAATGGCCAAAAACTTATGAGAAACAGATAGGAGACCACCCGATATGAATGGGATTTTTTCCTCTGGAAATGGGATTTAGATAAAAGAGGAAAAGTAAGCTTCTCCCTCTCCTGTTCGTTTCTCACGTAACAGATTAAAAACATCATCTCCAAACACACAGCAATTGCACATTATTTTCGTCTCAAAGTCAATCGCACTATCAATCGACACTCATTGGAGCATGAGACATTACATATATATCACAATAATTCGAGTTCACTTCCTTTATTCTTCTTATACCTCGCACTATCACATTTTTCTCATAGCAGGTGAATGTTATGAGCACAAATTCAAGAAAGGAGCACAACCTAAAAGTTTAACTTATGAGAGAGAATATTGAATTTATAAACCTCGCTTATCTTGCGAGGCTTCCCAAAGACTCATGACAATAAAAAGCAAGTACATCAGGAGAATAATCAACAGAGTTACACATACCCGTTAACAAACATTATCAACAAATGTAACATACATGTACTAGACAGTACTTGAGTGCGAAATACTAAACAATTGAACCGTTAATTTATTCCTGGTCAAAGTTAAATTCATTGGAAAAAGTATTAATTAAAAGTGGTAGCTGTGAAGATAAAATTGATCGGATAAATTAGTATGCATATCCTGCATTCATAAGAGCCGGGCTCAACCTGAACATGAGAATGCAAAACTCCATCTGGCTGAGAGCACCATCTCCATCCAAATCACCTTCCATTAACATGCACAGGAGCTCGTCGTCCCTCACATCCAAACCCAACAACATACTGTTCCTCTTCAAGCTCTCGAACGTGATCAGACCCTTGTTCACGTCCATCAGCAACTGAAACCCGTTCTGAAGCTCACCTATGAACCCTTCCGTACCCATGCTCGCGACCATGGAGGGGAAGTAATCCTCGAACTCAAACCCAAAATCTAAGTCCAAATTCATGCCGTCGAACGGATTGAGCTGCTGATACGTCATGAAAGTTAAAAGTTGATAATGAATGATGGGTGGCTTGTGAAGGAAGGGAGTGAACAGGAGGGTTTGATCTGAGGAGTGAGAGGAAGAGTGAGGGTGCTATATAAGGGGAAGGAGAACAGCCAAGAATGTACGGGCAGGGTAAAAATAGAAAACATGATAAGGTGTTTCTGTCTTTGGGAGAGCTTCTTACGCCTTTCATATTTTGTATAACTGTTGAGGCTTTCTTTTATCATTAGTTTATGTGGAGCCTTCTCCTTCCTCGAAGTTGCTTTTGTTTATTTTGTAAGCATTCGATGTTCACCACACACACACACACACAAACACATGACTTGTGTCATTATTGTTTGTACTCTTTCACCCAAACAGTTCTGCCCCTAGCTACTATATATCTCTATTGATTATTTGATTATATATATGCGTGTGCGCGGTTAGTAAAATGTACGGATGACGTCGAGTATGAAGAGGATTCAAATACAGTGTCTGGCATTTCTTCCTCTGAATTTTATTAACTATTTACTCTGAGACACTTATCCGTATGTATTGTGTTTCTGTTATGCTCATTGCTGAGAAATCAAGTGTTTCTTTATATTAATGATATATATAGCATAAGCAAGTGTAGCGTTAATGATGACCAAGATTGAATAGGAAGAAAAGAAGATTCCATTCTAGCTAGGCTTATGATTTGATGACACTGACATTCCTCTCGTCAACGAAATTTCATTTACAGAGAAAAGTAAAACATATCGGTGATTTGAACGAGGCTGATATCCGTGATGATTTCACGACTGCTCTCTCTCTTTCTTGCTGCTCCCTATGTCCCGAGTCATAAAACAATTTAAGATAAGATCATCCGTATCAATAAAACATAGTAACGATGCTTTGTGAATTTATTTTTTAAAAACAAAACTATAAACTTTTAAAATTATCACCACACACTTAATCATTATTATGTTACAATATTATTTCAATATTTTCTTAATTTAAAAGATAATATTAAAAAAATATCATTAATGAAATTACAATTTTCTTAAATTCCTCTAATATCGTCTTATAATTTGAGATGTAAGGAATAAGGTTTATATAACTAAGCAGAGAGAGAAAACAATCATAACAAATCTTCCTGAGTGATTTAATTCATATGTACGTTTCGTATATAATATAGATATTGAGAGAGGGAGGGAGGGAGGGTAATTCTTAAGGAAGTTACGAATCCTGTAAAGGATAAACGCATGTGTCCGAGAACAGGATAATGAATGGTGGCCTCTTTTTAATGAATTCCTTTGTCACATTCTCCATTGTCTGGAACTTGGTAAAGGTAGCAGGCCGTGCTGTTCTTACCTTTCGCTCCCTCCCTCCCTCCCTCCCTCTCTCTTCACACACACACACACAAATTGTAATAAAAACAAAATACAAATTATTCAATGGATTCAGCTCTCATTTCTGATCAGGTCCCCAGGACACATGTTTTAAATTCTTTCAATGTACTCTACATTCTCAGCGTGATACATACTAATCAAGTAAAATTAAAGACGGACATATATGTGTGTTTTTGTGGCAATAAAAGATAGTTATGCGATATGATTTGGGATGTAAGAAAGTAGAGTGTAGCGTTTTGAAGCTAGCTCATTAGTTAAAACCAGAAAAAAGTTAAACGGGAAAAGCAAAGGTTAAAGTGGAATTGATGAGAAAACAACGGAGCAAGTGATGGAAAGAGCGTCAATAAAGGCTTTCACACGCACGTAGCACTTAGCTTGATCCGTGCATCTTCCGTGATCTTTGGCTTCTTTTTATGTATCTGAACCCTTAACCAGACAAATTGACACACACAACCACACATGGAACATGCTTTTCGTACTTTTCCCAGTACCTGCACTGGCATATATAAGATGTTGATAGCTATACCACTAATTCGTGTAAATTAAATCCATTATATACAAATGTGGGATTTCCGATATCAACTCATGTCACGCTTGAACAACTTAATAAATATATTTATATATTGCTAACCATCAATATATAGATGCAGAAAAAAGATAATAAATTGACAACAAAGCATATGAACAAATAGGGGGGAAAAACGATGTATTTGTGTAAAGAATATGATTAATGTATAATGAAACGAGAGATGCAGACAAAAAGGGGCTATGGATGAGAAGGAAGTGTGAGGGGCAGAGGGGAGGGGGAAAGGGGGAAACTTCAGTGAAACTTCGTGGAATTGAGATTGGAAATGAATGATGAATCCCAGAGGAGAAGGGCAACTGAGATATATTATCAACAAATAATGTCGGGGACACGTTGCCACATTCCTAAGGATGTGACGTATCCTTTCAAACAAATGGCGCTAGCGTCTTTCAATGTTGCGCGCGTACTCCCTCCTATCTCCATTATTAAACTCATCACCCACTTGGAATCCCACTGTTTCTGCTACCACTTCATCACATTTTAAGTTTCAACAGACCCTACATTTTTTTTTTTTTGCTTTTACCTTATAATAAATGGAGTACTTCTTTTGTCCACTTTAATTTATCAATGCTGTAACGACAAGGGAAGCCGTACGTGTATATTTATGGATGTATGCATGTATCCATAGAATTGATAATATAATATGCGCTAATATATCATTGCAGATAAATTATTTGGCGTGTGAGGACAAGATGTGCATAAGCGAGCAAGAAGATCAGTGTATAGGACGAGTGGCCGCCTTTGTTTGGGACGAAAGGAATATCTTTGGGCATGAGAATTTGAGAAGCACGTGTTACACGAGGGCTCACCAATTAAAGAGATTTGGGATAGAGGGGGTTCCCATTTTGCGGTAATAATATATATATATATATATATATATTGTACCTTTAGATTCAAAACCGTATTGTCTCTCCCGTAAGTTTTAAGCAACTTTTATTCTTGACTCAGACGCTCCTGATTAATTAAAATATCATAAAATATAGTTGTACAATGATAAAATTATCATTCGCATAGTTAACTTTAGACTACGTACGTGTTTGTGATTGTATATTTAAATCTAAAAATATTAAAATAACATGCATACGTATTTAGTTTAGGGTCTGATTGAGCTTTAAAATTTCCTAACTTTTTGGAGGGAGTGGGGGACACGTATATGGTGGCAATAAGTGGCGAGTCACAGTATATGCGCCTCTTCACTTGGGCAAAATTATAAATTGTGATAATCAAATTTTAGATTTTGCACTGCTCTTTTTACTATTTTGAACATTAAACCCATTTGAATATTCTTTCTCTTAATGCAGATCTTTTTTTTTTAATTTTTAACCAAAGCTTAGTAATATTTCTTCATGTACGTGCGTTTAGGAAAGCAATGGACTCATCAAGAGAAGGTAGAATTGTACTCTCAATATTCCCAAGCACTTGATTTAGCAGAATAGAGCTTGCATTTAAAAGTTGAACTAAAAAAAAAAAAATTGGGCCTGCTCGTATGCAAAACGATTAAGCTCAAAAAGAAAGTATAATATCACTATTTACCGTCATTTCAAGGTAAATATCTCTCGGCATCCTTATACTTCATATCAATTTTCGAATAGGTCAACAAAAAGTGGCAACGGACGTGCTAAATTCTTAAATAAGCTTTCTTTTTGCCCCAGCGCTAAACACAGTTAGTATATATAGTCAGTTGAAAGGATGAGAGCAGTGATAGTTTTAAATTATAGCTAGGTATTTTATAATTTTGAATCCATTACAAACTGAACGTATCGATTTAAAAATCCTTAAAGCAAAAGAATACCTATTTAAAAGATTGATTTAAATTACAAGAAACAAACGAGTAACTTATTTTTGAAAATGTACATAATTAATTTCTTCGAGTTAGCGTTTTTTTTTTTTGGGTAAAACAACAGTGCTAACGTCCTGTGACAATATGTTTCCTCCGGCGGCGTTTTCCAAAAGCGATTTCGCAAAACTGCTGCGGATGAAGTGTGTATATATATATATATATATTTTAAGTGTTAAATATTCATTGCTTGCAATTGTAAAACTGAAAATTAGTGGAAGCTTGGACGAAAGTAAGAGTCACGAGGAGAGGTTAAATCCTCCAATCAATGCATCAGAAAGAAGAAAACAGACAAAAAAAAAGGAGGGTGAGTTGGAGCTTTCCAGCGATTCTCCTGTAAATGCATCCATATTGCATAAAGTCAGTCCTACATAGAAAAGCTTTCCGCACAAAAGCACACAAAAACATATGGACGTGGACCCTCAACAATAAATGTGTGTGTGTTTATATGTGTGGACTGACACGTTTAATCAAATTCATAAAAGATACTGATAAAATTTAACAAAGCATCTATATATGGTTCATCTCAAAATGTACATCACCTGCATGTTCCCCTTGGTACGCATATATTCATATCCTCTGCGATTATTAATTAATTCGATTCCTTTTAGTTTTGTAGCAGATCGATCTGTCCCCCACTTTGTTTGATCACTATCATTCTTAGACAAATACAAATTAATTGTATAATATGGAACTTCATTAGTGCAGTGAAATTTTCTTCAATGTTACGTGACAAACTAGTTCTTATTTATAATCTACTCCTTTAATCTTATTTATAGGGTAGAGAGAAAAAAAAATAATCATATTTACAAGACACTTATGAATTTTCAATGTTTCTTTTTATATTTTTATCCGTATTAAATGCTTTCAATAAAAATACTAATAATAGAATTTAAGAATATTTATTAAAAGATAAAGGTAAAAAAATTTTTAAATTTTAAAATAAAGTTAATGAAATTTTAAGTTTTTTTAATTTTAATAAAACATGTTGAAAGTAATTTATAAATAAAATTAAAGAGAGTATAATACACACAGCAAGATTATCATTCCATTACTGACAAAGTTGCCAATCCACTTCGCCACCAAGCTTTGCCAAATCATATATTTAAACCCTTGCTGTACGAAAAGAAAGGGGATGCAATAGGAGAGGACACGTACAGGAATCGAAGCCTCAGCACATCCGTACGTTGTCCATGAATCCTTTTGGTTCCGATTCCTCAGGATACAGTAACCTCAACCAGACATCTAGAGACCCACCAACGTTACAAACAGTAGTTCAAACTTTATCGCATGCTTAATTACTTTTCAAGCCCGAACCTTCACTGAAACTTCCTGTGCCTAGGTTGTTGATTCCTTGTCAATCTTGTGTTGTTTAATT